TGGAGGCAATGGGCTGGGGGCACTAAGACTCACAGCCACTCCCTGGAGCCTGGGGGGCTAAGCCTCCTCCCTGGCACTTGGGCAACATATCCAACCCACGTCCCCACCTTCCTCCCTCGCCTCTTGGCTGCTCTGTGCAGCAAGACGGCAAAGGCGAGTTTGGCAAAGCTTGCCTGTGAAAGCCTAATCCAAACAGCATGTCCGCTGAGCTCAGCGGGTGACTCATGTGCAGTGATGTGTGAGGCCAGTGAGCAGAGATTAGGATCCGGCCCGCCAGCCTGCCCTGCACTTCCTTTGATCAACTCTGATGGTTTTTAATTCTGCAGAAGCAGCTTCCTGCCAGCAGCAAGTGGCTCTCGGCAGAGGCTGGAGCCGTGTCTATGCTGACCTAGTTGTCAGAGGGAGGCCGGCGTGTGTGGATGGCACAGGGACTGACATGCTGGGCTCGCAGCCCACTCTGAGTGGAGAGTGGAGCCTCTTTTGCCGAGGTGCCCACAGTGACATCAGAAGCTCACTCCCTGGCCAACACAAGCGAGGCTCTGCGTGTGAGCAGCCTGCACTCTGAACCTGTTGCTAGCATGGGTTAGAATCACTGGGTAATAAAGAAAAATGGGGCTCTCTCCAGTGGACTTTTTTGGTAACCTGGGGCATCTCTGAGGATAGCATCTGGCACAAAACGAAGCACTCCTTGGGTTTTTCAGAAGTACCGTTTCACATCTGTTTTGCTCAAAATGGAACACATTCAGAGTGTATTACTTCTTTGAACTAGTCTCCCTCTCCTTGGTTGGAATGTGTTTGCCTTGGATTCTTGCAAATCCCCTGTATCACCCTTGCCAAACAGAGCACCTGAACGCCAGTCTTGTGCTTTCTTGTTCTCTCTCCTCCTCTATCTCCCTGTCCCCTTCCTCTCTCTTTTCTCAGAAAGTAGAGCAGTGATTCTAACCTTGGCTGCATGTTATAATCACCCTAGGAGGGGGTGTGGTTTAAAAATATCTTCATGCCCAGGCTCCACCCCAGAATAGTTCAATCAGAATCTTGAGGGTAGGATTAGGCAGGAGTAGTGTTTAAAGCTCCCATTGCACAGTCCAAGGTGGGAACCCCTGAGGATCACTGAGTGTGATGGCCTCAGGCCTAAGAACAGTTGCTCTGATGTCCTTGTCTATCTTCCTACCACCATTCAGTCTGAGGGTCTTCCAGGGCCTGCTGTATACTTGAAGCAGGTTAAGATGTTGCCTGAATGGGCTAACTAGCCTACATGTGAAGAAGACTGTTCATCTGGCTCAAAGTACTTAGCCTCCCACTGAGACAGCACAGAGAGTGAACATCAAGGACCGAAATGCAGAGTAGATGGATCCTGACGGGGAAGAAGTAGGAAATGTTCGGCACACGGAACAGCGACTAAGCCATTGAGAACTCCTCGGAGGCAGGTCTGTGATGCTGAAGGGTTGTGGGTAGGACTTCCAGATAAACTAAGGACCCCTAGCTAGTTTTTAATTTCAGATAAATGACAAACAATGCAATATTGGGGGTATATATAAAAAAGAAATTCATTGCTTATCTGAAATTCAAATTTGACTGGACAGTTTGTATGCTATTTGTTAAATTTGGAAGTCTTAGTTTAGGCTAGGGAGGAGAATCTGAGGCATTTGAAGGAGGGTTGGGTCTCACCTCTGTGGTACTGCCCATCAGAAGATGTAGAGAAAGCATGTAGGCATTTGAAGGCATTGGCAGCCCCAATGACTGAGGATTGCTACTGACATTTGGTAGAGGGACACAGGATGCTAAACATACTGCAGCAGGTGAGATAGTTCTTATAAAGAATTGTCCCATCTGGGGCCACCAGGCGGCAAGGTGCTGGACTCCCACATAGCCAAGCACGTTTCAAGTCCCAGACCCAGAGACTTGAAAATCAGACTGGGTGCACGTGTATGCATGCCCAAAATCCAGAGAGGAGAATGGAAGAGAAGGGATTGCAATGTGGCCATCCCCAGGAGATGATTTTTCATTTTCCCTCTCTCTATCTTTCTCAAGAGAGTACACACGCCCTGTGGCAACAAGCTGAAAGAAAGAAAAAGTCTCATCTTAAGTGCCAATGGTATCCAAACCAGTCTCATCTACTTCACCATTTTCCTGAGGACTTATCTTTATATAATTGCTCCCCAGAAAGCAATGCACTGGCTACACAAGGTCCAGAACCAATTCTCAAGGAAAGAGTCCACCAAAGTCCCAATAACTTGTCCCAGTGCCTCTTATGGTCCGAATTAAACCATATATCTGATCCCATGAAATGAATCTCTGAAATTAACTTCAAGCCTTTAATACTTTAAGTATTGCTTCCTTCAGGAAGCCTTCCAAGACTGCCCTGGTCTTTGCTGATCTGACTACTTAATCCCTAGGACCTTTTCCCTTCTAATTAAATACTTTGAGGCCCAGCCAAAGTGGTGAAAGTGGGAGGGCTTGCTGCATGGTGGCTGAGGCTGCACAGGAGGTCCAGATTTGATAACCGGTCTGATTTAAACAGTGTACATGCAATCCCAGCTAACTGGGAGGCTGGGAAAGGAAGACCACAACATGGTGAGACTCTGTCAAAAATATCTCCCTGGCTCTTTCTCTCTCTCCGTTCTTCATTCACTCTTTTTATCAAAATATTTATATATAGTTGAAGTCAGCAGGTGGTATGGTGGTTGGAGCCCTGGGTCCCACATGGCAGACTGCACAGTTTGAGTCCTGGACCTGAGGGCTTGAGGGACACACCTGGCATGTGCTTGCATGGCCATGGTCCCAAGGGGAGAATGGAGACAAGGGGGTTGAGGCCTGGCCATCCCCATCCCAGGAGGGAGGCAAATTGGTGACTTCTCCCGTTCTGTCTCCGGTCTCTCTCTCCTTCTCTCTCTCTGTCTCTCTCCAGTGAGCACACATGCCTATAGCAAATAAATACTTAAATATGCTCTGCTAATAGTTATGAAGAGAATTCAAAAAGTTCATGACAAAATAGAATTAATGTATGAGTTTATTTTGGTGCAAAGACAATTTTGAAATCCACGCATACTTTTTTCCTAAGTTTATTTTTCATAAACTGTGTGTGTGTGTGTGTGTGTGTGCGTGTTTTCAAAGCAGGTATATGCATTCACCAGAGAGAGACAGATTGAGCGAAAGAGAAAGAGGGAAAGTGAGAAAGCAAACCCCTTGGGGGGCAGTCATGCCACAGTTCCTTCTCTAATATTAACCTTCTTTCAGGATTTTGGGCTCTCATACACGTGCACCCAGCATGTTTTTCAAGCCGCTGGGCCCAGGATTCAAGTAGCAAAGTTGTTGGCCATGTGAGATCCGACCATCTTAACCACCACACCACTAGCTGGTCCCTGTGAACTTTTTTTTTTTTTTTTTTTTTAGAGAGGGAGGTTTTCTTTAGAGGGTTTGCTCCCCGCACTCACCAGAGTGACAGAAAGCGAGAAATCACCCCCCCTGGGGGGGATGGTCACACCACAATCCCGTGTCCTCCATTCTCCTCTTGGGCTTTTGAGCACATACACACGCATGTCCAGCGTGAGTTTTAAGCTGCCGGGTCCAGGACTTGAACCATGGTTGCCTACATGGAAGTCCAGCAACGTAGCCATTACAACATCTGCTAGTGCCTCTGGTGAACTTTGTGAAGGCCCCTTGTGCATGCACGCTCACCTGTGAGCTAGTTTCTCCAACTAACCTCAGTACATCAGGAAAGTGAAATCAACTTCTGGGGTGACCTTGGTCAAGCACTATTTATCAGCTGGTTTTGCTGTTTCCTGCACTTTGCCTGCTTCTTGAAAAACTCTGTTGTAGCTAAGATGTGCAAACAAGTGAGACAGTTAAAGTAAAAACGAAAGGGAAAATGAGAAACTATTAGAATATAGAGGAAGGAGAAGACCAGGAACCAGAGATAAGATAATTCTGTAAACGAATACTGAACTGAAATGTAGGTTTCCTGACAGTTTAATCAAAAAGGGAAATGCATCTGGTTATGTCATTCTTACTGTCTGGAATAAAGGAAGCAATATCAGCTCATGAAAAAATGTAATCCTTTTTCTCGTGCTAAATTCTAAGTGAAATTTGTCACACGGATCCTAAAAGGACTCTGAAAAACAAAATGGACAAGGTCTTCAGTTGCATTTTCAGAATTTACAAAAATGAGATTTTTCCTTTTTTTTTTGGATTATTTCTCTCTCTCCTTCTCTCTTTTTTTAAAATTCTGCCAGAAGGCGCACATGCTTGCCAGAGAGAGAGAGGGAGAGAGAGAGAAAGAGAAGGTAATGGAGGTGGAAAAATCACCCCTAGTGAGGCATAGTCATGCCATAGTCTTTTCTTCTCTATTTCTCCATCCTGTCAGGATTTGGGGCATGCGCACACACGTGCCTAGCATGTGTTTTTTTTTTTTTAAAGAATTATTTATTTAATTTGATTTATTCATTCATTTATTTTAATTTGGCCAGAGAGAGACACAGAGAAAGAGAGAGAGGGAAAGTGAGAAAGGAAGTCACCAGGTCCAGGACTCGAACTATGGTCAGCCATGTGTGAGTGTCCAGCACCTTAACCACCATGCCACCTGCTGGTCCCAACATGCCTGGCATGTTTTTCAAACCAATGGAGCCAAGATTAAACTTTGTGGTTGGCCATGTAGGATCCAGCTCCCTTAATCACTAGGCCACGGGGTCATCCCTTTTTCTGGTTATTTTTTATGTTTACCTTCTAAAGAAATTTGAAACTAACTATAGAATCGAGCCTTGGCTAGCAAAGGTTTTTTTTTATAAGAAGCCAAGCTAATGTATTCTTAATTGATTGATTCCTAGTAATCTTACTAAAAAAGGGACACTCAGGAGTTTCCAACTACCCAGAGCTTTTACAAAGGTTTCCTGTGTGTTTCCCCTAGGGCTTCTGACTATGTCAAGGAAAAGGTAGGATGACGTAGAAGCTGGGTTTGTGGTAAGAAGCGGAGGAAAGGGTGGGAAGAGGCACATTCCACTTACCGCTTTGCCCTCCTCTCTTGAAGCTAGGATCAGAGTTGGAGTATCCATCCTGCCCAAATGGTGCTTCCCAGTCACATCCCTGGAAAGAGTTAAAGGAACACTGTTTCACTAAGGACCGCACCAGGCTGGGATCCTGACAGTGAATTGAGGGACTGCCTGAACCTGTGGGTCATCCTCTAAGGAGTGCTACACTCTGGGGTTAGTTTGCATCTCTTTCAACAGCAGGGGCCATAATAATTAGATGACTCAAAAAAGAGTTTCCATTTTTGGTTTTACTTGGGGCTTCTTTTTTTTTTTTTTTCTTTAAACCAACTTCCATAGTGGATGGAAGGCTCAAACAAACGAGCAAAAAATAAGTCACAGATAAAAAATGCCCGTTGGACAACATCAGTGAGAGGAAATTGTGGCTAGGGGTTTTGAGGCCTGTGGGCTGCAGGTTAGCATACATCCGGTCTCCCCGCATCCACCCCCATCTCAAGTTCCACCCCAACTGCTTGGCAGCTAGTGTTGTTAAAACCATGATGAACCACCCTACAAAGGATCCATAAATCATCAAAATTTCAAGCAGCGGGTCTGTGATGAAAGGTCAAGGCCAAATATACAAATCTGCAACACAAGCTTTGGTCTTTTGTTTTTGGACAGCAATAGCTTCCATATCCTTCCTGCTGGTGTGAAAAGGATGGCTGGAGCAGATCAGGGCAGGAAAGTGGCTGTTCGAGATCTCTTCTCTCCTCCCTGGGACTGGGAAGGAAGAGGGGAGGGACTCTTGAGAAGAGAGAGGCAGGCAGCCAGGGAAGTCTTCCCCTTTTCTATGGAGAGGTCAACCTGATTGTGCTGTCTTTGCTTACCTAGGGAATTGTTTCTCAGGTCAGTGGATACTGGGCTTAGTGCTGGAATGTGTACACTGGACTCATTTCCAACTCACTGGCAGACTAGCAATGTTGACCCAGGCTCTCCCCCTCACATGGGATTAGAGGAAGGGCTTTAGACAGCATCATTTTTGGCCACTCAGTAGCTGAACTCTCTTCCTATGTTTAGGATATTTACCACTTTGTAAATCATGGTGCCCTCGTTAAGAACTCCAAAGGCCAGCTGCTCTCTTTTCCAGTCTCCTTTGCAGGCATGACATGGGCACATAACCGGGACTTGGCCAAGTAAGCGCACCTGCTCCATTTGGAATCAGAAATTATGAGCACCAACAAATAGGGACCACAGAGAATCCTTTACGGGGCAGATTACAGGGCAACCAAAGTGTATAGGCTCCTGGAACAGCAGTGCTCATGGTGGTGTCCAGGGCTAACGATGGTGGCAGTTTAAGTTGTGGCCCAGCAACAGGCAGTGGCAAGAGTGGTATCCTCCAGTCACTCTCTGTTGTAATTGTGCATGTCCCCCTCACTGTGATCCTGGGGTCCTGGTTCCTGTGTTTTCTGAGCTTGTTTCTCTAGGCTTTCCAATGATTCTATGGGTTTCTCAATAGGCATTTCAACAAATTTCTTTCTTGCTTAAATCAGTCAGAGTTGGTTTCTGTTGCTTGCAACTGAAAACCCTGACCGTATGCAACTACAACTGGCTTCAGTCAATCGTTAGCAGATGCGTTTTTCTTTCACTGCCTGCATTCTTCATGCCTCTGCACTCCGGGCAATTCCACAAGTAATCCAGAAAAGGAGGAATGAGCATGCAGAGAATTTGACCACAGCTGGGAAGCAAGCCAAGAGAACACTGAAGAACTTGAATATTAGATCCTTGACTTTCTTAGGTGGGGTGAATGCAGAATTACTGGGACAGAGGCTCTGGGCTATTGTCTTTTTTCTTTTAATCTTTAGCCTGGTTATATGTACAATAATGCAATGATATACACATACCCATGGCACTTAAAGATCCATGAGGTCATGGACTGATGGACCAACCTGCCTTATTTGTCCCATTATCTAGGTTATATTGAACACTCAGTAATAGTAGTAAAGAGATGATGATGGAAGTTTGAGGTGGAGTGTTCATGGAAGAAAAGCTTGCTATATTTTTAATGTCTCTTTAAAAGGATAATGGTGTCGGGACCAGCAGTTCGCATAATGGCTATGTTGCTGGACTCCCATGTAGCTGACTGCAGTTCAAGTCCCAGACCTGGTGGCTCAAACTCACGCCAGGTGCATGCATGCCCAAGATCCTGAGAGGAGAAAGGAGGAGAAGGGATTGCAGCATGGCCATCCCCCCTGGGGGGTGATTTCTCGCTTTCTGTCTCTCTGGCGAACGCACACGCCCTATAGCAAAAACTTCTCAAAAAAAAAAAAAAGACCAAAAAAGGAGAATGGTGTCAACTACGTGGGAGTTACAGATCAAGGCCTGTGAGTTGAGCCAGCACTGCTGATTTTTGGTAGTGTTGATTGAGGAGCAAGAGCCTAAAGCTTTAGCTGTCAGACAGTCAAAGGCAGAGATGTACAGTCCCAGGCAGGCAGAGCCTGACTTGGGTCTAAGCCAAACAAAATGCTGGTCCATTTCTTCTTAGAAAGGGGCCTCAAGAATGCCTGTAAGCTGAGTTGAAATGGCTCTCCAAAAAGCATTTTGAATTAGTTTCAAATGTTTTGACAGTCTGGAGGGAGTCCATTTGAGCCCAGAAAATCAAGAGGAAGGTTTTAGCTACCTTTAACCCTCAACTTCAGTGCATCACTTACAGTAACCCTGGTTGTTTGGATTTGGGTCTTCAAGGATATATATGCTACAGATAGACTCAGGGGCTAATACTTGCCTGTGATATTAATTTGTGACACCTAATCTCAGGCAAATTTGTTAACTTTTTTTTTTTTTTTAAGTCTTTGCAATAGGGAGCGTGTGCTCGCCAGAGAAGGACGGAGAGAGATAGTGAGAGGAAAGTGAGAAATTACTCCTCCAGTTTGGATGGCCACACCATAGTCCCTTCACCTCCACTCTTCTCCTGGGATTTTTAGATAAGCCCACATACACGTTCAACGTGATTTTCAAGCTGCCAGGTCTGGAACTCAACCACAGGCAACGATGTGGGAGTCTAGCACCTTAACTACCTGCTGGCCACTTGACTAACTTTTCTACATTTTCATTTCCTTGTTTAAAAATCCTTGGTTTTAAAATATAAGGTTTGGACTACCTTACCAATTTCTTATCTGAAATATATTTCTATTATTTTTTAAAGAATTATTCCACTTTATTTATTCATTAATTTTTATTATTATTTTTTCAATTCGACCAGAGAGAGACACAGAGAGAGAGAGGGAAAGCGAAAAAGCAAGCTACCAGTTCCGGGACTCGAACTGTGGTTAGCTATGTGGGAGTGTCCAGGACCTTAGCTACCATGCCACCTGCTGGACCCTATTATTTTCTTTAAGGACAGGAATCAATCATGTGTTCTTTTTTTTTCAGTCTTTCATATAATTTTATTGTCTCCCTTCAGCCATGGTAATATGATGTCCAAATGTTGTCTTAAGTGGTAGGTCTGTAAACAGGTTTATCCATCCCACTGACTGGCGAGGCAAATGCTGCTTCTTGAAATGGTCCCACCATGGATCCTCTGGTCACCCAACCCCAGTCACCCCCTTGCCTGGCTTTCTCTCCACTCTGTTGTGTGGCCACTTCATTGAATCTCATTCCAGACTCTAACTTTTCCATGGCTTCCATCATTTTGCTGTGTTTTTCACATAGAATGTTTCTGACCTTTACTGCATTGCTACCACCTTTGGGACCCTGTGACTTCTTGTCAGCAGTATCATTCCCAGACGCTGCTCCCCCTTTACCCCCTTTTCCAGAACCACTTTTTCCTTTGGGCGGCATCTTCAAGACTTGTGGATAAACAGTCAACCGCTCCGGTGTCGTACAAGTCCCCTCAGGCCCCTCAATCATGTGTTCTTCAACGTGCCTAGCCTTCAGGCCCACTCAGACCTGGACACAGCTAGCACAGGTAGCTCTCACTGTGACTGTGTTCCAGAAGAGCCTAAGCTAGATTCCCCTGGGAAATTTCCCAAGTCAGGACAGAGGACCAGCAGTAGTACAGTAAAAAGAGGAAGAATGTGGGCCAGGAGGTAGTATAATGGGTAAGGTGCTGGACTCCCACACGGCTGACCATGGTTCAAGTCCCAGACCTGGGGGCTTGCTTTCTCCCTTTCCTCCTTTTTCCTCTTTCTCTCTCTGATGACCACATGTGCCCTAGACAAATTTTAAAATAATAATAATAATAATGAATAAAATTAAATAAATTTATTTTTTAAAAAAGAGGGAGACTGCTGGCATCCTTTGACCTGTAATTGTAATCTATAACCAGATACAGAACCAAAGGTGCTAAGATTTGTTGCTGGAGCTGAATTTCCAAGGAACCTACTTACAGCCCACATTTTTCTTTAAATTCACATTGAACAGTAGAAGGCGATTAAAGATAACAGTTCTTAAACTGTCTGAGGCTAATAGAGAATAGGACTGTGAAATAAACACACACGCGCACACACACACAAAGTACTTCAAAAAATTCTCGGAAGGAGGCCAGCAGGTGGCATGGTGGTTAAGGCATTGGACTCCCACAGGGCTGACTGTGGTTTGAGTCCTGGACCTGACAGCTTGCTTTCTCACCCCTGCTCCCCAGCTCTCTCTGTCTTTCTCTGGTCAAATTAAAATAATAAATAATAAATAATTTAAAAATAAATCATTATTTTTCAATAACTCATGGAAGATGGAATTAAAGTATGAATTTATTTTGATGCAAAAAAATGTTGCAGTCCATGCATATCTTTTCATAATGTGCATTTCCATGAATTTTTTAAAGACCTCATGTATTTTAAACTGGTGCTGTGCAACTTGGTTTTAACATGGAATTTCTGGCAACTTTGTTCGGCAATGGTGGCACCACTCCTTTGGCCCTGGGCTTCGTGTGATAAGCAGATTTGGAGGTCATAAGAGACAGTAGACAGAGCAGTCATCTTATTTCCTCTGCTTCCTTCCTGGGGAGAAGCCAGAGGACTCCAAAGAAAAGAGATGGGAATGAAAACAAGTAAATCCCAGCAGGGGAGCAGGGAGGAGAGATGGAATAGCAACAGCCTTGAGAACTCAGCTGCCAGCAAAAAT